CGCAAGTGCTCTTCGCGATCACGATATGGTATAACGATTGCCATTTTGTGTCGGGACTGGCAGTTGGGCGGCCGATACCGGCCCCCGGACTCCAACTCCGGCATCATTTCCTCCAACTTCTCAAACACCGGACTTTCAGTCAATACTTTTAGGCGACCCACTGTTCAAACAAAATGCAAATAAATATAATTAAATATAAATATATAAAAAAAATTTATTCAGTTATTTAAAGTTGTAAAACTCTAACACAACTTATAATTACAGACAGCTTATGGTTTATAGTAATCCGGGTATTTATGCAAACTTTTTTTTAAATAAAAAATATATCATAAAAGTTTTTATTATTTAATTATAGATTCCATGGTAATTTGTAGTGCAATATACGGGTATCTTTACCCATTGAATACTATATTTTATGGATAACAGAAAAAATACTGTATAAAGTGTTAAATATTCATAATAAACGGCTGCGACTGTAATGAATGAAACGATTTGTATTGAGATTAACGCCAAACACATCTGAGGCAACAAATCAANATAAATTATATTTATTACTCGTTTTTTGCATATAAATAGTCCGTTTGAGATGCAATTTAAATATCATTAGAGTTTTGTTTTTGTCGTGAGTTTGGAAACTATTTTCCCAAAAAATTATATCAAGTATTTAATAGTTCAGGTAATCGGTGAATGTCTGACCTCATGTGCCTGTCCTCCCGTTCCCCTCTATAAGCTATGCTCTACTAATTGAATGAATGCATAATTGATTTGAAAGGCAAATAATTATCGCCAAAAATGTATTTCTCAACAGCTTTTCGTAGTTATGTTACAAATAGTTGTGAATTTGATTAGTTTCGTGACTCATTTGCGCCAATTGTGATGAGACAACACACATACCGGAGCCGTGAGCACCGGTACCTATAGTCGGACGGAGCAGCAACAACAAAGTTATTTAGTATTTTTTGTGTCCATTTTTATGGGAAGGTTTTTAGGGATTGAAAACATAGTTTGCACTTATTTTTGAGGATTACCTTTAGCTGTGATACGAAAACACAGTTTGAGTTTTTTTTTCAGTCGACAATTGGGTTCAAAATTACTGTAGTTTTTGGTATTTTATTTTAAAATCCCATTTCGTTTGTATTTAAACTATGTTTTGATCGATTGGTGCGAATATTTGGACCAATTTTCCTGTCCTCAGGGATCAGGTATGCGATGGAGAGAGAGAGAGAGAGAGAGAGAGAGGTATGGGATGTGAGTGTGTTGTATAATACATATAAATACTGTACGCGAAAAGTGGATCTCAAATTGTTAATAACATACCAGACCCTCACGGTTATGCCCATCAACAGTCCAGCCATTGATTTATTGTCTCTGAAATTTGGTTTCAAATTAAATGTTTTCTGCAGAGAGAGAGAGAGAGAGAGAGAGAGAGAGAGAGAGATCTAGTTAAATAAATCCGTATTTTACAAGTTATTATTTCCAGTGCTTCTCATGTGTTGAATGTATTGAACGAAATGTATTGATTGAATGCTAAAATAAAACCGCGATTTGAAATGCCATTGAAATATAATAATGTCTTTTAATGAGGTTAATAGTGTTGCTGTAGTTGTGCTCTGTTTTTGTCTACTATTTCTAATCTATGGGTAGAATATCACTCCATATATAGTGAACTATTTTTTTTGTAATTATCGTTTGTCTAAAATTCAATTGCAGTAAACCTCAGAATATTACTTTGTATTTAATGAATAGACGGAATCCATACTTATTATTAATATGTTATTAATATTTATACCAAAAATATAATTCAATTAACTCTCTCTCTCTCTCTCTCTCTCTCTCTCACCCTTATAGTGAACTTTCAAAAGTGTAAACAATAAGTTTAATTAAGTTTAAAACAATTATGTCATTCGTATTATACGCTAGAATTTGTTTTGTAATAACAAAAGTAATTACTTTTTCTTTTAATCATAAAAATCGATTGTTTTTGCGAAACAAAAACGAAATCTAAACTTAATTTTATTGATTAAAAGTACAGAAAATATTTTGCAAACACTTAATAATGTTTATAAATGCTAGAGATTTGTGTTGATATACAAATATATTGTGTGCGAAAAATCATTTGCAAAACTTTTTGTTGTTTTGTCGGTTTAAATTGAAATTTTTATTTATAAAACAAATTTGTTTTTAGTTTTTTTTATCGGTTAGTATTTTTCGCACTAAATGAATAGCTATTCTCGGAATAGAAATACAAATAAATTATTGCCAAACAAAAAAGTTTTTGTTTGTTTTGTTTGTCGACTGAAAATGGCTTTTCTTATAATACTGTAGTCCTGTCTATCGCTGTCTTAATGGTTAAGACTTTTCTGCAGAGGTTTTCGGTATTTAAATAATCGATTGATTTATACATTAACTGAATAGCAGTTTGTGTTATATATTTTTGATTACACTGTGAATAATGCTGTTTTCGCAGACAATACGATAAATCTTGTGTTTGTTTAGAAACTATTGATTTGTTGCCTCAGATGTGTTTGGCGTTAATCTCAATACAAATCGTTTCATTCATTACAGTCGCAGCCGTTTATTATGAATATTTAACACTTTATACAGTATTTTTTCTGTTATCCATAAAATACAGTATTCAATGGGTAAAGATACCCGTATATTGCACTACAAATGACCATGGAATCTATTATTAAATAATAAAAACTTTTATGATATATTTTTTATTTAAAAAAAGTTTGCATAAATACCCGGATTACTATAAACCAAAAGCTGTCTGTAATTATAGGTTGTGTTAGAGTTTTACAACTTTAAATAACTGAATAAATTTTGTTTTATATATTTATATTTAATTATATTTATATTTAATTATATTTATTTGCATTTTGTTTGAACAGTGGGTCGCCTAAAAGTATTGACTGAAAGTCCGATGTTTGAGAAGTTGGAGGAAATGATGCCGGAGTTGGAGTCCGGGGGCCGGTATCGGCCGCCCAACTGCCAGTCCCGACACAAAATGGCAATCGTTATACCATATCGTGATCGCGAAGAGCACTTGCGGACATTCCTACTGAATATACACCCTATGCTCGAGAGACAGCAATTGGATTATGGCATATATATCGTCGAAGAGGTACGGGATCTCATATTATTTGGTGTATTTCTCATTTTTGTGTAGCATTTCATACGTTAAACACAAGTCTAGTCAAACAAATCAGATATAAATTATAGGAATTTTATTTTGTTTTTTATTGTATTGTGTTTTATGTTTTACCAATCATTGACTTTTCAAATATACGGTTATTCTTGAATTTAGTGCACGTTTTGTGTGCCCTTTGTTGTCATCTCTCTCTCTTTGTCTCTCTCTCTCTCTCTCTCTCTCTCTGTCTCTCTCTCTCATCCAAATATTTTTACTATCATTTTTTGAATACCTGTATAACCAATGGATAATGGTTTTCCACTTAATTTTGATGATATAATCAGTACTATGTATATATAGTGTACGAAAAATATAGCAAATTATTTTTGGTAAGGATTTCCTACTTTATTATGTATTTGTCTCTATTATTCATAACACTCACGCACTTCCCCTTTAGTGTACGCACGCACTGTCCATAAAAATATTTTTGGTGTACACTATAGGGAGAGAGAGAGAGAGAGAGAGAGAGAGAGAGAATTTGATGGCATATTTGGCGCAAGAATTTTGATTTTGAATGAATGAATCGTTTTTATTATGTATTTTTATGTTGAGTTAACAAAACAGACAACAATTCATATAAGAATCGCTATTATTGTCTAAACTATAAATACTATTGAATAGCGAAACCCATTGTTAGACATATTGTTTGCGAGCATATGATTGATGCAAATATAATCACAAATTGATTGTAATATTTCTCTATCTGTTTGCCATTGGGTGCCAAACCCATCGTTCATCACATTGGATTCAACGCTTACTACCTGTCCTCCCGGTGCTTAACTACGGTGTGTAGAATGGGAATGGCAAGTTCAATCGGGCTAAACTCATGAACATCGGCTTCCTGGAGGCGCTCAAACAGTACGACTACCAGTGCTTTATTTTCCATGACGTGGACCTTATTCCCGAGGACGACAGGAATCTGTACACCTGTCCCGATCAGCCCCGGCATATGTCTGTCGCCATCGATAAGTTCAGCTACAGGTACGATGATTACCGGCCCCTCATGTAGTGGTTTTGTTTGCACACAAAATGTTAATATTAATTAATTAAGCTTTTGATGAGTTTATAAGTTATATTAATTAAATTTAAAATGCATTTATAGTTTCATATCAATTAATATTTGTTTTCAATGTTTTTGGTCACAAAATGTGTGAAAATATAAGTTTTAATGAAATCAGTTTGTGATTGAAATTATAAATGCATTCATTAATTATGGTTTCGTCAGAAATAGCATTAATATACTGTACTCTCCGTTATAGTGAAGGTTATAGTGATTAATGAATTTGTTATAAATTAAACCCACAGTATATTAAGTCAATACAGAGAGAGTTTCCGTTAATTTAATATTTTGTTTTCAGAAAAAGTAATTTTTGTGTAAATTTTGATAATTTGTTTTTGAAATGCACTTCTAATCCATGTGTTTGTGGCCTAAACGCAGACTTCCCTACAAAGACCTCTTCGGCGGTGTCAGTGCACTGACGACCGAACAATTCAAGAGAATTAATGGCTTTTCCAACGAGTTCTGGGGCTGGGGTGGAGAGGACGACGACATGTAAGCCCTCCCGTTCCCCTCTATAACCTCTATAACACTGTTTTATATCTATTTTATACGCATTTTACGATTTCTCTCTCATTTAAAGTAAACTTTTTAATGACTTTTTTGTTGTTATTTTTTCATTCAATTATACTTTTAATTGTCATTAATTTTGCTTTCTTTTGTTGCCTACCGTTCCCTCTCCTATAGGTCCAATAGAGTGCGTCATTATGGTTACAAAATCAGCAGATACTCGGCCAGTATTGCTAGATATAAAATGCTCAAACACAAGGGCGATACACCCAATCCCGATAGGTAGGTGCACCCTACAAGTCTGTCTACTCGTGTGTCCAGCTATTGAAATGACATTTTATTAGTAGTCATAATTGTTGACAACTGTCTATTGATTTAGAATGTCTTTCCATAGAAATAGTTTTTAGACATGATTTTAACAGTAGTTTTATACTTATATATCAATACTACCTGTCCTTAATCATCGGTACTTTGAAATTAAATTAGTATATGTTTCACTAAAGTTAGTCAGTCATGAGACACACAAGTATATCATTATATGATACTAATTACTAACTGATACTATAGTAATATGCTTTGAATACCTGTCCCATCAATAGATATAAGAAGCTATACAGCGGTAAACGGCGTTACAAAACGGATGGCATTAATAACATTAAGTACAAAGTGGTGGACCTGGTCTTCAAAAGGCTGTACACCTGGATTCTGGTAGACCTCAAGTCCCCGTAATCGCCGCTCCGCTGTGATGAAAGTCAGCCATGAACTGACAGCACCGTTATTATGGTCACAATCGGGCCAACCGTTTGGCACAAAATTGTTACTCAAATTTGTTATATAATGGGACCGAAAGTCCCGAAACAAACACACTATTAAAACACACAAAACAAAATCCACTATTTATTAGACTTTATATGAAATTAATTAATTTTTAACGTAAGAAATGAAAGTAAAAAACTTGTGTATAGTTCTCATTTGTCACTCAAATTATATTTATAATTTAAATATAAATGTTTAAAATGATAAATAAAATATTTTTATAAATATTGAATAAGAATTGCAAATAATTTTAATTAAAACCACAATTTCTGGATATTTAAATGTAAAATACGGCTAATGTTTAAATTAATCTGTGCTTTAAAAGGGGGTTTAGGGGGAATGGGTGTCAGAATAAGCCAATGAACCCCGTCGTTAGGAGGGAAGCACTGGTCGGGTATGGATTAATCAACTGAATCATAGCCCGATATCATCATGTATCAATGTTTAGGTCAATAATGACCCTACTGATTGACTTAAAGGGCTACTAGTGCTGACAGCGCCTACCTACCCATCGGACAGTATATGTCATTACAGTTTGCTCGCCATAAATGATCTCATATTTTATTTAATCAACAGTTAAGTCAATGAAGTTTTAATATATTTTTAATTAGTTGTATTTTTAATGTTAATTTTTATGTATAATTCATATAATTATCCAAAGTTTTACTGAATTATAATTTTAATTATAAGACATTTAAATCCAAATTATAAAATCCAAAGCCTTTTAAACTTATGGTTAGTATTAGCGGTCAATAGGTGTCAGGCGTTGTGTCCACAAGTTTTTGTACGAATGGGTTGTCCATAGATTACATGCATTCATAGCCAACACATGACATGTGCTTAGCATGTGATCCCAAACCATAACAAACCAATTATTGGTGATAATTACCACAAGAATTGTCTTATCATTTGGTCACCGAAGCAGATCTCGAAGAATATCATCGATAATAGTCTTACGGACAGTCTTACAGCGCTTCCAGATATCTGCATACGAGTAGTGTTTCTCGCGAGTGATATCACTTTTAACGGATCCATCGATATATTTATTTTTAAAGAGATTTATCACTGAAGAGCTGATCCGTACACTCATGAGTGACACTAAAAAGAGCGGAGTTTTTGACGATTTGCGAGATTTGGTCGAAACGATAGACTCGTCGACGACAACGACCTCCGGAACCGATGAACAACTGTTGACACAAATCGACGACACTCTGTGTATGAGTTGCGGTGATGTCGGCACCACTCGTATGCTTCTCACAGACATTCCGTTCTTCAGACAAGTGGTGGTCGTGTCCTTCGAGTGTCACAACTGCGGAGACACTAATAATGAGTTACAACCCGTTCAACAGATCGGCGAGAGGGCCGTCAGGTTTGCCGTCCGCTGCCAAACACCACAGGTATTGACAACAGGAGATACTGTGCTCTCTCTCTCTCCCTCTCTCCCTCCCTCTCTCTCCCTCTCTCTCCCTCTCTCTCTGGCCATCAATTGATCCATTACTCAGATATCTCGACCCAAACACAGGACTTGTCTCGACGTGTGGTGAAGACAGAGTGGGCAGAGATCGAGATCCCGGAGCTTGAGTTCGAGGTTAAGAAACAGACGGGACTTATCACTACCATTGAGGGCATTATCGAAAGAGCCATCGATGGTCTCAAACAACTCATTAAACGAATGGTACGTTACTCTCATAAGTGAAGATAATTGATTGAAAAGTGATTTCTTTAACAGACCAGTGATGTCCCAGAAGTGGATCAAACGGGACCCGAATCTACTGATCACCAAAAGATATGCGATTTTATACTGAAATTAACGCAATTAAAAGATGGCAACCAATCGTTCACTTTTGTAAGACATGATTGCGTTGATAATCGGTTTAAGAACTGACTAATTGTGTGGGCCATTGATCACCGAAACAGATCCTGACAGACATAAGCGGCAATAGTTTTGTGGAGAGTCTGTGCGCGCCTCCAGAGGCGGACCCATCGGTCGAAAGCAATCGATACATCCGAACCATAGCTGAGGATAAAATTCTGGGCATTTATGACGCGGAGACCACCGCTGATGACAAAGATAGTGCTCTCAAGGATGAAGTGCTTCAGTTCGCCACCAATTGTCCGAACTGTTCGGCGCCGGCCTTCACTAACATGAAAATCACGCGTATGTCATGTCATGTCTTACTGTGTCTTAGTTTCTGATGAAATGGATATCTCTTTGAGTGAATCTATTGATTAATTTTGGATTTCTTTGTATCGTTATGTGTGTAGAGATCCCACACTTCAAGGAAGTGGTAATAATGGCCACCAATTGTGACTCCTGTGGCCATAAGACCAATGAAGTGAAGCCCGGCTCCGGTATTGAGGAGAAAGGCATACGAATAACGCTTAAAATCGGTGACAACTCGGACCTCGAGCGGGATGTGGTTATTGTAAGCGATTATCACATGTTTTTACCACTCATTCAATGAGATAATCGATGACTCATTTTAATTGACAGTCCGACACATGTAGTGTAGATATCCCGGAGCTGGACATACACTTGACGTCAACGGGTTCGGGCAAATACACGACTGTGGAGGGCGTGGCCCACGATATGGCCGAAGACATTCAAACGAATCCATTCCTCGGCGGCGATTCAGCCAAAGAGGAAGTGCGACAAAAAATGGATGAATTGGTGGCCAAGTTGTCCGTTGAGAGACTCATAGGCCTAACACTGATTCTGGACGACCCGTGCGGTAATAGCTATGTGTCGGGTGAGGGACAGGCACTCCATGTCCACAGATATTCGCGGACTTTCGAGCAAAACGAAGACTTGGGATTAAATGATATTAAAACCGAAAATTATAATTAAAAAGTGTTTTTATATTATGTTTGAAAAGTTAAATTTGATAAAAAGTGATGTATTTGAAATGCTGAATAAATATTTTGATAGTAATCAGAGGTTTAATTACCAGTACCTATAGCACCAGTAGTTTCTAACCCTACCCTACTCTTAGAGGTTGACTATAGACGTAATTTCTAATATGGGGCCAAAGGTCTATCAAGTGTTTGTCCAACTTATGGGTGTAGTTGAGTGAATATTTGATAGACTTAAGCCCGGAGTGGACACCAATTGGCAGCAAACATGGCATATGACATAAGGACAGACGTTTGCAGTATATTGTATAAAAGGATTGAGAGAAAAGTATTGAAAGCGAACACAGACTATAGTAGTGTCCGACGCCAACAGACTGGCCAACTGTGCCCAAGTGGACGCACAGGTGATCGGGTGAGTGTGGCAACCCATGGATTAGTTTAAACCATTGTTTTCAATTGTATTCATTTGTCAGAGCAATCGATCAGTTATTTGCGGGCATTCACAGCATATGGCACCAGTGTTTTCCGGATGTGGAGCTACCCGTACGCACCGATGCACCCCTCGACGCCTCATTGGTTGATAATTATGAGATACACGTCGATACGGGAACTCATTTGGCGTTCAAATATTGCTCTCACATGAGAATGAACGTCAACGCAGTGGCCGGGTATGTTTGCGCACTAGTTGATCAAATGGTCACTCAATTTACAACTTAATCGTAAACATGATTGCATTCATCTTATACTAGATTCCCATACGCTATGCTACCGGCTCTCTGTGACCACTTGAGTCAGTTCGCCAACGCCCTGAACATACGATTGTCGGGACAGGCAGTAGAGGGTCCGCACGAGCAGCGGGAGGTGGACACTGCGGGCGCGCACTAGTCGTCCAAATTATAGCACAATTATACGACATTTCAAATATAATACAAAAAAGTTTTATTTGAATCTACGGCTCATTTACTACTCCTATCGCCGATCGTGTATTTGTCATAATTCTTGGTCGGATCGTACGGTTCCCACCGACTGGCGGGGAATATATGCTTATTGCGCTCATACCACGCCCTCAGCAGCACTTTCCCCGCGTGCGACTCATCCCTTTCCACTGTGGCGTCCGACACGAGGCGCACGTCGTCGTGAACGTCGAAAGCAAAGAGTGGACCCGATTTGCCCCGAGCTTTGGTCACAATGAAGTCGTAGAACGTGTAGTGCTGAGGGATTATCAGGTCCTCCTTGATATACCTGTGCGGGTAAGGGGTGGTTACAAACAGTCGTTAGTCACATACCGTACAAACATAATTAACAGTGTTTTGTATGCAATTAGCGTTCAGTTGTTTCCAATTCTCTCTCTCTCTCTCTCTCTCTCTCCCTCTCTCCCAACACTATTGGCTACCAATTGGTGACCACTTATAGCCCACAAAACACCGCAAAACTAAATACGATTGGCTGTCGACGACTCACATGAGCTGATCGGCGGTGACGGCCCTTAACTCATGAAACTCTTTGCGCAACGAATCCAAACACTTCTGGAGGAACTGATAGATACTGTTGCCCTTCGTCATCATCACTGAGCGCCGGTGTCCCGATCCGTCCCAATACGAGAACGTAATCTCGATGTCCTCCGACTTGAGGCGCTCCTGCTTTTCCACCCATTCCTGTCTCAACTGTTCGCGCAATAGGTTCTCCTCATCCTCGCGATCCCTGTCCCTCAGGAACGACGTGTCGACGTCCGGGTTCTTAATCATCCGGTGCTTCTTCGCCTCTTTCATGGCATCCGATGACTAGTGTTTGGACACAAAAAGAGTTTTTCAATCATTTAAATGACATTAAAAGTGAATAGAGTTTGAGATTTGCATACATTTTGCGAGTCTTCAGACTCTTCCGGATCTTTCGAGTCTTTGGATTCGTTGCTGTCATCGGGTTTTGTGTCCACTTTGTCACCACTTTTGCTGTCATTATCACCGCGAGTGGTGTCGTCGTTGTCATCGCCATCGATGTCCTCATTATCTTCGTTCTCCTCGTCGTCATCGAAACGGAACGAAAGCGTCTGAATCTGTGGACACAACACAACACTCATGAGTCAAACCACGTGTCAATCGATGGTCAGTGGATCTCAAGACCTGTCGCTTCTGGCGTTCCTTCAGCTCTCGCTTGTCTTCGGCCTCCTTCTGCTGAATGGACTCAATCTTGAGGGCCAACTGCTTCTCCCTCTCCTTCACCGCCACCTCCTGTTTGGCTCTCATCTGATCCAATGTCACCAAACCCACGGTCGACGACCGGATCTGCTGTTCGATGGCGTCATAATGTGTGGCAAACTTGGATCCGATGGTCGACAGCTTCAGCTCCTCCTCGATCTTCCGCTTCTTGTGCTCCAACTCTTCCACCGCTTTCTCGCGCTTCTTCTGCAGCTGCAGAGCTCTTCCCGCCTCAGAGGCGGCGCCCTTATAGTGGGCCATGAGTTGATGATTATCACCGGCAACTGATCCAAAGCACGCGAATCGGTGGCTAAAACTCACGAGTCTTTCGGTGTTTTGTTTACAAACAGTATTTTCTGTCAAACGAGTCGTCCATACATTACGTGAATGGGATATAGAAACTGTTCACAGAGAGTGTACCCAGTATTGCAATTTTATAGCCCCTCCCCCTATACCAACGTTTTTTGAATTGGCTTCTTTTTTGAATTCCCCAACTATATCGTAACATTATCTGTGAACGATTCCCTATATTATAAAACGTGTTGACAAACCAAATGTAAACCACTTTTTTGAATGCCGTTTACAACACGTGCTCTGAGTTTGTATTGACTTAACCCGTGATTATCACCGCATTTACCTCCGAAGCAGACATCGTCCGCCGGAATGGGAATCACCAAACAGTACCTCCGATGGCAACCGGGACCAGTGTTTGGGTGCATCGGGTCCCAGAGCTCAGGCATCCTATACCTACCGGCGCTCACCTCCAGACATGACGCTCGGGAACGGCTTGTGGTGACCGGCGTTTGCGAATCAGCCGTCGTTTGGGACACGAAGACCGGTGAACAGGTGCTCACCTTAACTGATCCGCAGTGCAAATCCCAAGTGACAGCACTGGCAGCCAATGGACAGACAGGACTGGTAGCCAGTGGTCACTCGGACGGCACCATAAGACTCTTCGACGCCAACTCCGGTGATCTTAAAGTGACGTTTTCGGGCCATAGATCACACGTGACTGCACTGGCGTTTGATGGGAACGGTATGCGATTGGCGTCGGGAGGCAAAGACACGGAGATTGTGGTCTGGGATGTGACCGCAGAGTCGGGTCTCTATCGCATGAAAGGACACAAAGGAGTGGTAACTAAAGTGCAGTTTATGGCCACTCATGAGCTGTTGGTGTCCTCCTCGACCGACACGTACGTCAAGTTCTGGGACTTACAGACACAGCACTGCTTTAAGACACTCGTTGGCCATCGCAGCCAAGTCTGGAGCTTTGCGGTGATGTCTGATGACAGACGACTCATTAGTGGTGGCAGTGATAGTGAGCTTAAAGTGTGGAATATTGTCCACAAAGTCGATGATCCGGATGACTTCACATCCAGATTAGCAGCACTTAAGCTTAAGACAACGGGCGATACCAATGATGACGATAACGAAGAGGAATTGGCCGAAGAGACGGATGTACTGATTGTGGAGCGCGTGGGCGCTGTTATGCGGAACAGTACTCAACGGTTGATCGATATCTGTGTCGATGAGACGGAACGGCTGCTCATCTGCGCCGCCAAAGACTCGTCCGTCGAGTGCTTTAAACTGAAAACCGCTGATGAGATCAAGAAGTCTATCACCAAACGGCTGAAGAGAGCGGCCAAACGACATCTTAAAACCGGAACCGATGACAAGGAACAGGATTTAGAGGACAATAGCGCCCATCTGTCGGTACAGACACTGACCGATGAGATCGAAAGACTGGAAGCCATCAAAACGAGTGGATCTAAAGTGAGATCATGTGATGTGTTGGTCCTCAAGAATGATATCATCAAAGTGTGCGCCCTATTGGCCGATAACTCAGTGGAAATGTATTCGTTTAAGGCGTCGGCGCCAACCGCACCCGACCTCTACGGCGGGCTTAGACTCCAGGGCCACCGGACGGATGTGCGAGCGGTCAGCATATCGTCGGACAGTCACTCGATAGTCACCGTTAGCTCGGATGCGGTGAAGGTGTGGAACAAATCCAGCGCCAAATGCGTGACAACCATCACAGAGGGCGTGGAGTATAGCCTGTGCTGTGTGTTCGCACCGGGCGATCGTTACGTACTGGTGGGCACCAAAACCGGTAAACTACAGGTGTTTGACATCAATAGCGCACAACTGGTGCACAGCATCGACGCGTCGGAAGACTTACTGCCCGTGTGGTCCATGTGTTTGGCGCCGGGAGGTCAGGGACTCGTCACCGGCTGCGAGGATAAGTTAGTGAAGTTCTGGTCGTTTGAGTTACTGTTGGATACCGTGTCGAACACCCGTTCCTTGCGACTGGAGTGCCGGCGGACCCTTAAGATGGATGAGGGGGTGTTGTGCGTGAGGGTCAGCCCTAACGGCAAGTTTGTCGCCGCGTCCCTATTGGACAGCACTGTTCGCCTGTTTTTCTACGACACACTCAAGTACTTCCTGTCACTGTATGGCCACAAATTCCCGGTGCTATCGATGGACATATCGTCGGACAGTCAACTGATAGCTACCGGCGCCGCCGATAAGAACGTGAAGATATGGGGAATGGATTTCGGGGACTGCCATAAGTCGGTGTTCGCGCACGACGACAGCGTAACGGCCGTCCAGTTTGTACCCAAAACACACTACTTGTTCACCGCCGCGAAGGACAAGCAGATGAAGGAATGGGACGCCGATAATTACGAGAAGATACAGGTGCTGAGTGGGCACCAGTCGGAAGTGTGGGCGCTGGCGGTCGCCCCTAACGGCAAGTTTGCGGTGACGACCTCTCACGACAAGACGCTGAGGTTATGGCAGAAAACGAGCGAACCGTTGGTGTTGGACGAGGAACGGGAGGAGGAAAGGGAGAAGGAGTTCGATGAGGGACTGTTCGCCAACGAGGAGACTGTGATCGCCGGCGAGAGTAACACAGAGACAGCCCTTCCCTCCAAGAAAACTGTGGAGACATTGAAAGGCGCCGAACGAGTAATCGAAGCGCTGGATGTCTATCGCAAAGAACTGGTTGTACTTCGAGAGTACGACGAGAAGTGTAAGGCCTGTGCGGCCAGGGGTGAGCCCGAGCCCTCTCGACCCATACCTAACCCCCAACTGATGTACTATAAGACGGAGTGTCCCCATCGGTTCACTCTGGAGGTCGTGAAGAGGATTAAGTGGAATGAGTTGGAGGAGACTCTACTTACTCTGCCATTCAATTATGTGATTCAGTTGCTGGAGGTGTTGGCCCGGCATCTGGAAAGGGGTTGGGAGGTAGAGCTCACCTGTCGATGCGTTTGCTTTATATTGCGGTAAATGTTGTTTGATTTGTTTTATGGGATCAATGATCGAAACAGATTTTAATCGAAATTATAATTGTTTTAATCACTCTTTTTAGGGTAAACTTCGGCCAAATAGTGTCGACCCCTAAGCTGTGGCCGACATTGGATCAGTTGCGACGACTTATGAATGAATCGGTGGCTGACCTTAAGGTTTGTTTGTTTTTTTTGTTGTTTTAACAGATCATTTGTGCATTAAATAAAAAGTTTACGCTATTTGTAGTGATTATTCAGCGAAATAGTAATGTTTTACTAATTTTATGAATGAATTGAATGCTAATAACTGATTGTATGGCTGTGTGTAGGATATGGTGGGCGTAAATACGGCTTCCCTTCGCTATTACCACCAGATTCTCGATAGTAATGAAGAGGTTTCGCTGTTTATTTTATGAATGAATTGAATGCTAATAACTGATTGTATGGCTGTGTGTAGGATATGGTGGGCGTAAATACGGCTTCCCTTCGCTATTACCACCAGATTCTCGATAGTAATGAAGAGGTTTCGCTGTTTAAGGAGGCGTTCAACAAACAGGCGGATAGAAAGCGGAGGCGTACGGCTAAAAACAGCCGTACCTCTGGTGCACCCATACTCACGTGGAATTGAATGATTATTTTTAGTTTATTTATTAGTATTTGTATTAAAAATTTGATATTAAAAATGATTTTTCTGGTTGTTTCTTATGATAAATGAATTGATTTTTAAATTTTATTTGATATAAACTGTTGGGCAAAAAGGCATTGAAGTGACTGTGATCTCAATTTGTAGGGCTAATCGCTTACAGTCCACATCAGTTGGCATACCAGAGCATAGCCGGTGGTCTATCTCTCCCCTCTCATAATTAGAGTAAAATGTTTTTTGACTTACTTTTCATTTGTCATTATTTTATGCTTCATGTAATCGTTGAATCTAACAAACAATTTGATTTTGTTTGTTATTTGAATAAATCTGTGTTTAATTGACTTATAGTTAATGTTATCGTAGGTATAGTACATTTTATACAGTACATTTTTAGGAGTTTAAATTACACATTATGTTGACTTTATATGTTAACAATATCTCAATATATTTGAAATAAATATTTAAATGACTTTTTCAATACAATAAGCGTTTTTCCTGTCATTTATTCTCGAGATTTTCGTTATAATAAGTAAAATAAATATTATTTATTTGAATGAATGACTTTTGGTTTGTGTGTAAAAATTTTTTTCACTACTTTTTTGTATTTTATGTTTAGTTAAGAGATTAAAATATTTATTGAATATTCTTTTACAGAAGTGTTTAGGAATTTCCATACATTTAAATGTCTCTGACTTTAAATTCAATCAGAGAGAGAGAGAGAGAGACGAAGATTTTTACGGCTCACGACTCCATACGATTAGGTATTTATTTATTATTATTATATAATGTTATTAACGATCGGAAATGCATTCCTTTCCACAATGAATAGCTCCGACATGTCAGACATGCAAGCTATCTGTCCCCAGGGGAAGGGGTGGGTTCTAATTACACAGCTTTCTCATATAACTTGATGATAAAATTTTAAATTATTATTTTTCCATACATTCCTATATTTTGTGGACAAAATTGATAGTAATTTTGAAACCCTTTTTACAAATTAATTCATATTGAAATTCACAATCTTCTAGAGTATGTGTTTGAGTGGGAACTGTAGGTAGTCATGGTGTATGTCATGGTGTATGTCATGTGTATCCATCGAGGCATTGATGCCCATTACTACAAATGATTTATTTTGTAATATATTTAACTTTTTTGTTTACCTATACCCCCATTACACCGACTGTCGAGACAGTGCTCTATCACCCGGTGCTCATCGCTTAGGCATTCATTAGGAGTACTGGCAGTTAGTGTATACTTGTAAAGGACGAGAGAGAGAGAGAGAGAGAGTTAATTGAATTATATTTTTGGTATAAATATTAATAACATATTAATAATAAGTATGGATTCCGTCTATTCATTAAATACAAAGTAATATTCTGAGG